GATAAATTATTCTATCCGTGACCTACTCTGAAAAACCTCTGTAGAGTCTAAAACGCCATGGAATTGTTGCAGTTCTTCTGCCAAGTCTAGCTTAAATCCTCCGACTTAGGTAAGCTAAGTTTATTTTCCTGACTCCAGGGAGACGGAGAACAGCTGCCCACTGGTATTTACACAACATCCTGTCATGCTCTGGGAGATTGTAAGTAAGTCAGCTTCCTTGTCTAAGCTCTGAAGCAAAGCCTGTGAGAATTCCCGAGTTTTCCTCTGGTGTGCTTGTTACCATCCCCACCTGCTGCCTCTGGGGAACTCCGTCTCCCTAGAGCAGCTCCAGCTCCAGTCCCTGTAGGCTTCTTGGCTACCTTAGTTGCTCTTCATTGTTCACATGCTGATGCTGTTGAAGCTCCCCCAGTGGAGTTATTAAATGTGCCTTCCAAAGCTGTTCATTTATCACTATCATGGTAGCAAACCAACCAGAGAGACCCATTCTCTTTGCCTCTGATCTTCTTAGTCTACCAGCAAAAATTCCAGCCTTGAATTCTTAATGCTGTGCCATCTTCTTTGCAGAATTTTCCATGGCACTTGGTTCCAAAAAACCTGCTACGGAACAAACTTACAGAACAAAGAAGGTGACCACAGCTCGCTCCTCTTGGGTCAGTTTGTTTGGATTAAATGTCTCTAACAGAAGTGGCATACAAAGAAATAAAAGGATATTTCTAAATCAGACAATTTAATTGTATTCTAAGTGAGCAGTGACAAAACTTCAAGTAAACAGACAAACACATATGGAGACATAAGACTTCATGAAAAGATCAAAGACAAGAAACTTGAGGGAATCCTCAATTTAGGCAGAGATTCATTGGAAGAGGGCACAATGTAGAAAGATATAATATGGAGGAAAATTCTGAAATTACATTGAGTGTAAATCTTTATATATACTGACCATTCCTGATGGAGGAAGAGAAAGCAAGGGAGACACCTTTCGTATAAATATCTTCCATGCATTTTCTCACTTAACACATTTGATCTGGAGAGATCTATTTTCCTGTCTCTAGGCTCAGTAGACAGTATCACATTCTGAACTCTTAGCCAACTCTTGGAAACAGTGTGGTTAGTTTTCAGGAGCAATGACTGTCATGGAAGCAGATTCTGGAACAAGAGAGGCCCCCCTACACTGGAGTTCTCCCTCTGCTCTAACAGTGCACGGCCACTCAGGCAGAATCGAATAACAAGGTCATGATCTGATGGCCTTATAGAACTTACTCTAAAAAGCCAGCACCACTAACCGGAGACCACACAATGGCATTGGGAAGAAATACTTCAACCCTCTCCCAGGGCCATATGTTGACTTCCCATGATGTATGGGGCTCTCTGAGCCAAAGACACTGCTGACTGCACTCGACACAGGAGGCTGGGATGCTGGGAAAGCTCTTTTGTGAACTTTAACTGCAGCTGGATTCTCTGCTCCCAAAGGAGAATTACTCACTTCAGTCTGACTCATTATAATTAGAGTGGATTTACTTTAGGGAGCAATATTTACTTTTTAAAATAAATGGCGATGAGGGATTTCTTGCTTGCCATTAGTGAATATGTTAGTGTTTGCAACGCCTGCTCCTGAAATTCAGATTTCATCTGCAGACAGAGTGGCACAGGCAGTACCTCTCACTGGGGTTGTGGGCCTGGGCTCGGTCTTTTCCAGTTGAGGACAACCAAGAGAGCCCACAATTGCCTACACCAGGGGTTGTGAAATCATGGCCTGCAGGGCAAACCATCTATGCTTGTTAAATAAAGTTTTATTGGAACACAACCAGACCCATTGGTTTCTGCACTGTCCATGGCTGCTTTGGTGCTCCAACAACAAAGATGGGTAGTAGTTGTGACAGAAACTGGATGGCCTGCAAAGCTTGAAATATTTACTGTCTGACCCTTTACAGAAAATGTTTGCTGACCCTTGCTTCATTCGCTCACCCCTTGTACTCAGGACAAGAATGTCTGAGTATGATAAAAATCCCAAGGTAAGTTTAAAAACCCAAAAAATTCCATGAGCATATTAGCACTCCTGGTACTAAACCCAAATACTAGCAATTACTACAAACTGAACATTCATTTTGTGGACGCAGAAAGGAAATCGAATTCTCCTGTAGTGTTATCCTGGCATCTACTCATAGATTCTCGCTATTTACCTCCAGCCAATTATTTTTCCTTAAGTGACTTAGGACAGTAAGAATATGCTAACAATCAATCCGCTTATGCATTTATGTTTTATTTCCACAAATATGTGCTGATCCCCAGACACTGTGCTGTGCACTTTAGGATATAAAGATGACAATAAGTGAATTCTTGAACTAAAGGCTATCTAAACCACATCTACAGGGATCAAGAAATTGTATGTGATGAATGGTTGCACCAGGAGACATGGGGACTCCAAAGGGGGATCCTTAAAAGAGTGCATGTGTAGTAGGGGATGGTGTGTCAGGAGAGCTTTCTCAAGAAGCGGACCCCTCTCGTGTTTTGCTGTTTATTCTTTCAGAGGCTAAATGTGATAATCTCCACAATGTAGCTTCAAAAAGTACGTGGAAAAGGAGATTGAAAGACCTTGGTGTAACAGATTTTGAAATCCATCCGGAGGTTTTTTCAGAATATCTTCTTCTCCATGCATTTCTTGAAGACACCCTGTAAGGATGGATTTCCAAACTCTCTACTTCAACAAATATGTATCTTTTCCCACGGACTTTTTGAGGTGCTGTTGTATAATCATCCCTAACTCTCTCCCCATGGGAGCATAACATGAGCATGGAATCATGTAGTGGCAATGGCTTCAGGGAGGGAAGAGGCTGGCTTGGTAAGTAAGGAGTCTGGAGAGGCCCTATCTTCCTCCAAATTCTAGACACAATGCACATACACACAAACACAACTCTTCCTTTTGCAATTGTGGGTTGATTTCTTTTACTCAGGATTATCTGGCACTTACTGTACCATAGTGCTTGTTTCCATATACAGATGGTGTAGCAGAAGGCTACAAGTTTAGTGATAACCACAGAGGGACAATGAGAGTGGCAGCTGACATGTCACAAAGAGACCTTGACAAGTGATTGAGCGATGGTGTCCTTTTCCAGATGACCAGAAAGTGACCACTCATAGGATACACATTCCTATCATCTCTCCACCATGGTGAGATGGAGTTTGGGTCCAAGCCAAGTTTTGGGTCTAAGCACTGGGCTGTTAGGAGATCAGTAGAGAGCAAGCAGAACTCCCTAGGGAGGTGTGATGATTACTGTGGGAATAATTTGATTGGTGTTGGAGAACTCTTAAATAAGACTTTGAGAATTTTAAAGTTGGAGATTTGATCTCAAGTCTTGAATGTGTAGGTCTTCTCCTATCTCCTATTAAATTTCAGTTGTTCCTGACAAGTTAATGCCTTTGAGAAAAAACAGTTTTTATGTCTTCATTATGACTGAGTAGTGGACTGGTGTCTGCTATGGGCTGGATGTGGATTGAGTGTATCTCTCACGATATGCTGGTAGCTTGGTCCCAAGTATGGCCATGTTGAGAGCTGATGGTACTTTTCAGAGGTGGGCCTGGTGGGAGGTGATTAGGTCATGGGGGCACTGCCCTCGGAAGAGATTAATACTAGTATTGGGAATTGAGTTCATTATCACAAGAACACAGCAAGTGCTTGGTCTTCTTTGCATGCTGCTGTTTCTCTTCCTGTTTGTCTGCCATGTTATGATGGAGCCACGGGGACCCTCAACAGGGGCCAAACAGATGAGGAACCTGACCTTGGACGTCCAGTCGCCAGAATTGTGAGATAACTAAACACCTCTTCGTTATAAAGTACTTGTCTCAGATATTTGGCATAGCAACAGAACATAGAGTGATACAGTGTCCCTCACCCATAGTCAGCTTCCACTCTTCTCAATTCCTCCTGTCCCACTGTCAGTTGAATGCACTTTTTGAAGTATCTGAGCAGTAATTTTGTGGCATCAGGGACATCTTAGTAATAGCTTAAATACTTTTGTGGCCCATTCGCTTCTGTTTCTTTAAAACAATTCAAGATAACGGAATTTACAAATAAAATGATTTTCATTCAAAAGACAGTAGAGAGTCTATCCAATACAATTCTGCAAATACCTTTTAAATGTGATGATTTGACACTATTTCAGGAAAAGAGATCTTTAAAAATGCAGCTTCAGTTAATCAGCTTAAAGATTCAAAAGAAAACAATGTTTTAAGTATAGCAACTAAGTCACCCGGTCTTTAGACCAGAGGGACCTCCTACAAGAAGTGATACAATATCTTGAAATAAAGCTAAACAGAACTGAAGAGTATCACCTGGTTGTAAACCCACGGAATGCTAGAACTGGAATCTCTGAGAGATCCTGTTACACAGTTCCTTCACCTAAGAGCTGGGCCAGGGGACTGCAGTCTGCATGCAGAGTCAGCACTCCCAGGTTAGCTAGTGAGTACCCAGGATTGGAATTCTAATCCTAGACATGTTTGTTCAGGTCCTTTGCCCCCAAACCACCCTTGTCATTCAAATCTGAAGCATCTCAGATTTTATACTTTGAGAATCATTGAAGATGTTGAGTGGGGGCTGGGGGTGGGGCTGCACTAGCTATGGAGTACTTTGCATGTTTGTGTGGACTACGTTAACAGCCAGCCCGGGAAACCCTCCACAGAAAGGGATCTGAGTTCCCAGAGCAATTTTCAATGGCTTCATGGCTCTGATGATTTCCATTTGCAGCCCACTGAATGAAATTTATCTCTGGATTCTGGACATCCAGCTACAGTTAGGTTCCACTTTCAGAACATGAGACATTTGAGCCAAAACATATACTGTTCCAATTCTAGGGGAATTATCCACCTAGTATATATTTTCAGACACACTGGTGCGCTTACCTGAAATTTACTTTACCCACACACACTAAATACACTGAGTATCAGCTTAGAAAATATAAACCTCATCAAAATCAAAATATGGTTACTGAACTTGGTTGGCTCACCAGCTGTTGGCCTTTCGGGCCCCATCCTGCATACTGAAGTTTTGCATTGCTGACTTCTGGTGGGTCCAGACTTTGAGGATCCCTGAAAAAAAAAAAAAAACACAAATGAAAAACATCACAAAATGATAGGAACTGAGAATTTGAGATGATACTATTTTTAAAAATTGCTTTTATACTTTTTTTTCTATTTATTCATTTATTTTTGTAGTTATTTGAAAGGTGGAGAGACCGAGTGAGCATGAGTGCTAGGAAGAGCATGCAGCATAGAGACAGATACTCACAGCGAGGTCTTCCATCTACTGGTTCACTTCCCAAATGCTCGCAACATCCCGGGTCAGGCTGGTCTGAAGCCAGCGGCTCAGAAATCAATCTGGGTTTCCCACAAAGGTGGCAGAACCCCAGTACTTGAGCCACTACTGCTGCCTCTTGGGGTGTGTGTTAGCAGAAGCTGATTCAGAAGTGGACTCAACCCCAGGCACTCTAATATGGAATACAGGTGTCCAAAATGGCATTTTCCTAAGACCGCACCAAGATGCTGCAACTTCATCCTCTTAGTTGTTTTTAAAAATGTTTATGTATTTATTTGCATCTATGGGGGTAATTGATTGATTGATTCCATCTGCTGGTTCACTCCCCAAATGCCCAGGGCTGCACCAATCTGAATGCAGGAACATGGAATTCCATCTGAATCTCCCACATGGGTGGCAGGAGCCCAAGAACTTGGGCCACCATCTGCTGCCTCCCAGGTTGTATTAGTAAAAAACTGGATTGGAAGCAGAGATGCCAGGACTTTCACAGGCATTAATTATTAACTTGCTCTTTGCTCTATTACTGCATCATTAAGGAATTTGTCTCGTGTTATTTAATAGCATGTCTCCTTCAGTCTCCATAAGACTATTTCACATGTATATAAATTATATGAGGCTGAAATAGGCCCATCACTGCTCAACATCAGGTCCAACATTGCTTTCAGCAGGTGAAAACATGTAGGGAGGTTACAGATCATCTTTAAAAATATCCCAGTCAAAACTAAAACTTGAAATGTAGTAATAAATCCTCCCAACTCATATCCTGCATCTTTGGCTCTCCTAACAGATAGCTGCTTGCCAAGCATAATGCTAGGCCATTGTGACTTTTGCAAACCAGTGGCCTCAAGACTGATGGCGACTTGTGATTTAGATACAATGCAAGAGGAAGGGAGGGGAGGAGGGACGAGAAAGAAGACAGAGAAAAATTGGAATATTTTTTCCTAGCAAATATCACTTGCATTTTTCATTCACTATTTACTGATATGCAAAATTTCACCACCACAAAATCCTATCTATATACTTATAGATCAAAATGAATAAAGATAATGGTGAAAAAAAATGAAACTATTAAGTATTCCAGTGTTTCTTACAGCTACTGCTGTCCTCAGCAAGCAGAAAAGGTTGCTTTTCATTTCTTTTGGGTGGCGCCACTCCACAGGCAGAATTGCACCTGTGTCCCGCTGAGTAGGCCAGACGCTGTCCTGTGAGCACCCTACCAGCTGGCTGTACCGTTGCTTACGCTGAAGACGCAGCTACAGATGTGCTCATTCGTCTGTAGAGATGATGGCTCAATGGTCTTTGAGAAAGGAAGATGCTGAATTTTAGGGTTGCACAAAGAAAGAAGAAGAGACAAGGCGGGGAAGGAAGGTGGAAGTGGTGAGGACATGCTGCTTCTGAACTGGCATCCGTAGGAAACTCTAGAGCAACTGCTAAGTCATACCACCAGGAAAGAAACAGGGAACACACGTAGAAAGAAAAGAGCTGGGACTGTGAAGGATTCCATCACACCCCAGGTTAGTTTTAGATGAAGCTCCTGGGATTAGGGAAACCCAGGAAGCCTGAAAATGAGGCGACGTGGTATTAATTAAGAGGGGAGTCGGCTGGGAAGGAGTTGTTCGTGACCAAGGCTATCTGGAAATTTCAGGGTCCAGGTGAGTTTTACTTGTAATTTTATTTATTTATTTATTTATTTATTTATTTATTTATTTTTTGACAGGCAGAGTGGACAGTGAGAGAGAGAGACAGAGAGAAAGGTCTTCCTTTGCCGTTGGTTCACCCTCCAATGGCCGCTGCACTGCACTGATCTGGTGGCAGGAGCCAGGTGCTTCTCCTGGTCTCCCATGCGGGTGCAGAGCCCAAGTACTTGGGCCATCCTCCACTGCACTCCCTGGCCACAGCAGAGAGCTGGCCTGGAAGAGGGGCAACCGGGACAGAATCCGGCGCCCCGACCAGGACTAGAACCCGGTGTGCCAGTGCCGCTAGGCGGAGGATTAGCCTAGTGAGCCGCGGCGCCGGCCTACTTGTAATGTTTTGTAAAGCTTCAAGACATTTTCACAACATTCGCACACACAGGAGTGAATTCCTCTGTAGTCTTGGTGCAGAAAAAGCCTTCTCAGAATGATCCCAAATTCAGAAGCTTGAAAAGACTGATACATGTGACTCCCTAAAACATTGACAACTTTTGCATGACAATAACATCACTTACAAAAGATGATCCACAAACTGGGAGAAAATATTCATAGCTTCTGCCATGGACAAATTGCAGTATTCTGAACGTACAAAAACTCTAAAATATTGAGGTTGCAAAAGACTCCTCCAAAAATATAGAAATATGAGAAAGAGACATGAATAATCAATTTAAAAGACACAGAAAGGGATCAAAAATTCCTCAAAAATACATAAAATGAGGGCAAAAGGAATTAAAACTATACTGATGCATTTTTTCTCACCTAAGAGATTTGATAAGAACAGAAATGTCATTGGGAAGGTTGTTGAGAAATAGGCACTGTTAGTATTTGCTGATGAGGATACATATGGGTGCCATCATTTCAGAGGGAAATTTGACAATTCCCAATGAAATACACACTTAACTTTTATACTAGCAATCCTAGCTCTGGAACATCTTCAGGAAGATATACCACCAGCAATACAAAAATATATGTGCATGAGTTTGTATTCATTGACACTTTATTTGTGATTACAAAATACTGGAAACAATATGTGGTTGCATAAACAACAGTGCACCATTTTTTAAATGCTAAATTCTATTAATTAGGGAATAGAATGGTAGTTACTAGTGGTTGGGGTGGAGGGTAGGAGAGATGTCACTCAAAGGATAAAAAATTCCAGTTAAGTAGGAGAAATGAGATTTTTGAGCTCTATTATAAAGTAATGGTTATTATAGAATAATGTATCTTTCAAAATTTTAAAGTGAATAAATTTTAAATGTTGCATCACAATAAAAACTGTGGAGTTGAATATTTTCCTCACCTTGATTAACTGATTCTATAATATACATATATATCAACCATCACTCTGTACTCCATAAATAGATATAATTATTACTTGTCAATCAAAAGGCCCAAAATCTATGGCACATTCATATAAGAAAGTATGGTGTGGCTGTGAAAAAGAACAAAGATTTCTATCAAAGTTGATAATGAGTGATTTCCATGACAGTTATGCAAAGCCTTGAAAAGTATGTATAGTATGTCATCCACCATATGAAAAAGGGACTATAAGAAATACACACGTACCACGCCATTTGTGAAAAATGATGTGTAGGAGGTAGAATTCAGAAACCACATATTGATCATCAAAAGGGGTGGGTGGAAAAACAGTGAAGAAGAGTGAGAGGGAATGAAGTTGCTGGGATGTGGTGGAGTGGTGCTTCGAGTTTACTTTTTGTACAACACCGAGTCTTAGGTTACAGTAGGGTTTCACATACCCTCCACATACCCCTAAAATAGACAAACTAACCCGGATGTTGGAAAACCCAAAATGGAATAGAGGTACTCAAAGAACAAAACTCGGTTACAAAAGAAACACGAAATTGCACTGAAGGACAGGAAGGGACAAAGAAAACGCAAGTAACAGTGGGAAGCAGTATTTAGATTGGATGCTCTCAAAGTAAAGATAAAAGAACTGTACAGAAATGCCATCAGCGAGTAACCCTGTGTCTCACAGGGGTTGGGATTATAATCGTGGAACTACTCATGTGTGCACCAGATCCAACAAATACGCGAATTGTTAAATATATTGGAGATCATGAGATGTCGTTTTCTCATCACGCAGGAAAAAAGGAAATGGCTAAAATAAATTGTATGAAGTGGATTAGAATTACAGGTGTCAGAATCAACTTGTGGTCACACACACACACACACACACACACACACACAGAGAGAGAGAGAGAGAGAGAGAGAGAGAGAGAGAGAAGGTCCTAACTAAAGCTGTGTGCTGTGTCTTTTTTTTTTTTTTTTAAGATTTATTTTATTTATTTGAAAGTCAGAGTTACAGAGAGAGGTAGAGATAGAGAGGTCACCATTCACTGGTTCACTCCCCAGATGGCCGTAATGGCCAGAACTGCACAGATCTGAAGCCAGGAGCTGCTTCTGGGTCTCCCACATGTGTGCAGGGACCCAAGGACTTGGGGCATCTTCTACTGCTTTCCCAGGCCACAGCAGAGAGCAGGGCCAGAAGAGGAGCAGCCAGGACTAGAACTGGCGCCCATATGGGATGCCGGCACTTCAGGCCAGGGCTTTAACCCATTGCACCACAGCGCTGGCCCCGTGTGTTGTGTCTTGGTACACATATATAGATGTTCTACCTCTAGCCACTGAAAAGGGCTGAAAACAATGACAACTCAGTATCAATGAGCAAAGCTAACGCCCAGACCTTTGTCTCTCAATGCCATCATCCAATAAAAGTATATAGGGTTCCTAGGAGAATTAATAGTACCCAGGCTGGGGTGGCGATGAGCCTAGAACATCTTAGGGAGCCAGAAAGTAGGAAAATAGCTAAAAATTAGGGGTCTGTTGAGAGAATACCTAATGGCCAACACCAGGATCATATGACCAACAAAATAATCATGGTATTGGATTAACTCACTATACAAGGCATTCCCTGGTCCCATTCTAATATAAATATGTTATCAAATAAACAAATGGGAGAGAAGAGCACTCTTTGTCACAACAGATTTCTAATTAGAGGGAAGCAAATGGAATCACCCGAAACTAATGGCCAGAAATAAACGTTGCAGACGAGATCCACTGGT